CATTTTATTTCTCTAAGGAGAACAGTTTGATCTTTTAGAAGCCCCGACAGATGGTCCTATAGATGGTTTAAGCAAGCTGTCCTCATATTGGATCAACACAGATTTCCCATGTAATAATTAAAGATTGTACTGGATTGTTTTCAGGCTTGTTTGTTTTGTTTTGCTACAGAGCACTTTAGTTCTTCTTTTAGTAGAGAGCATTTTAGAGACTTCCTCTAGCCGAGTCGATTTACTTCCTGATGGATTTACGAATACAGCTCTTAACAACTGGAAACCAAAACTTAACTCTGGATAATGAGTGTGCATAGGATAAAAACACATCAGAATCACCTTAAGAAAAGGAAAGTTAAAATAGTCTTTACCAGATAAAGACTTCAATGTCGGGAAACTTAACTTGACTTAACTTAGAACTTAGAGAATATGCTCTCTGTATGCTATACAATGTCCATTAAAAGGGAAAATGTAAAACAACACAAAAAGCTGGCCAACAGGGTGTACTTTGAGGGTTTGTGACTCTGCAGACCGTTTACATGCATAAAAAGCTACATAACACACAAGGGGACGGGTAGGCCTAATAACCAGAAAAGCATGACATGGGACCTTTAATATACAAAGACAGATGCAATGCTGCAAAACACTCATACAATGGAGGTTTATGATTACTATAATGTTATACTTACCAATGTAAACGTTAAAAACAGCTTCTGGTTATAAAAGTCCCCAACTTCTCATTTTATTACCCTTCTAATTATTTTTACATTAGGGACCAGTCAGATTTCTGATGATAATTTTCTTAATGAACCAAATGAGGAACAAATATCTATTCTAAGTTTCTGAAATGTTTATTCTAAGTTCCAGACATGTTGTGTTTATGTCAGGGACCTCCTGATAATCCAAGTGTATTTTTCTGTGTCTCTCTCTCACAACTTATTTCCTGTGTACTGTGAAAGCAAAAAATCTAAATATAATGAGGAAGGAGCTTTAATTACTAAGCGGAAGAAAAAGGGGAAGGGCAGAGAGAAAGCTGGGGGTAGAAAGATTTAAGGTAAGGCAAGACAGTAATTGGAAAACACAACGCTCGTACCAACGAACTGTAGAGACAGACCAGTTTAATAATCTGACAGAGGATCGAAGCATCGGACAGCAGCACCATGAAGAAGTTTCTGCTGCTCTTCCTCTCACTGATGACAGGTAAAAAGATTACCTATACCCGATAGCGAATTTTAATAAAATAAAGCGTTTTCAAAATATTCTGCGTCCATTTTGAGCTAATTGTTTTTATTTTATTGATCATAACTAAATCATATTTATCGATATGAGTACAATCCTACAGCATCAAATTCTGCTACTGTATTCATGTGTGTGTGCATTATATTAATGCATTTAAGTATTGCCAGTTCTGCACAACCCTCACAATATTTTTCACATTTGTACACAAGCTACCTCTCATCCACTTTACATAACAATACTAGTTTATATTTTATTTTATCATATTATTCAAAGTACTCTGCAATAGTATACTGTACGTCGTATTTTTGTATATCAACATTTCATGTAAACATATTTTAGATGTGTGATTTACTAATTAATCCTGAAAGTGTGTCCTGATTTAGTTTGAGAATCTGACATGAACGTTTCTCTCTCTCTACAGGCTGTGAGGCCTTTATGGTGAAGGGATGCAGCGGTGGATGGGTTAATTTGACCCACGGATACCCTAAAAAACATCAAACATATAAAAGCATTAATGTAGAGGTCAAATTTGGACCTCGAAAAATAATTGAAACCAATGAAAAAAACGTGTGGAAAAGCAAAGGAAGATTTTCCGTGTACCATGATGATCAAAGTAATGATCTCAGGGTGGTCATCAAAGATATTAAAAATGAAGATTTTGGGAAGTACAAGTTGACATTTAGAACCGACAAAAAACCTAATGAAGAAGAAGTGGACCTCAAATTAGGTAAGAAATGCTTCATCTCCATCGTGAGTCTCTCTTGTCCTTTGTGGAAGCACTCTGTAACCACACCCTCAACAAACTATGTATAATGCATGCAAACAAAAAGTCATCAACTGCAAATCCATTCAAAGAAAATGAAAATCTGTTTGATATAAGGCACACGTTAACGGATACATTTCATGTTTTACTTTTCTTTTTTATTTGCAGATAACCGCTGCCAGGAAGCATTACATGTACCCGTAACTGCGTACAGAACAAATAAAACCACCATCTCATGTGATTACAAAAGAAATGAAGACGACTCCATGTTTTTCTGCAAAGAGAACGGTTCAATCTGTAAGGATATTTCAACAACATCTGCTCAAACAAAGGGGATGTCCACTCTCACAGAAACCATGAGTGACTTCACTGTGTCCATCAGTAATGTGTCAGCACAGCACGCTGGAGTCTACTGGTGTGGAGTGGAATCAACTAAAGGAAGTTACCGAGCTACTCTCAGGAAAATACAACTGGAGGTTAAAGGTGAGAAACTAAATATCTGAGATGAATAATAAAGGTTTCTCTGATATAAGTTGTTGAATACAGTCCATGCTGTCTGTCTGTCTACATCAAAAACTTCACCTGGTCTGCAACTATTTGACAGAAATGTACATACTGATGTGAATATCCATACAATTCTCCCACAATAATAATAGTCAAACCTAATATATGTTAATTGAAGAATTACAAAGACTATCGTTCATATATGATTACATGATACACTTTTTTTTTTACATTTTAATGATTGTATTTCTCTTTTTCTATGCTTTCCAACCTTAGAATCTGAGTCTACTTTGACAAACTCAAAATTGACAAACTCAAAATCAAAATTCCATCCTCGAACCACTTTGTCACCTACTGGTTTGTCTACTGTTTTGTCTACTGATTCATCTACTGGTTCATCTACTGGTTCCTCTACTGGTTCGTCTACTGATTCATCTACTGGTTCATCTACTGGTTCCTCTACTGGTTCGTCTACTGATTCATCTACTGGTTCACCTACTGATTCACCTACTGGTTCACCTACTGGTTCACTTACTGGTTCATCTACTGGTTCCTCTACTGATTCGTCTACTGGTTCGTCTACTGGTTCGTCTACTGCTTTGTCTACTGATTCATCTACTGGTTCACCTACTGGTTCGTCTACTTGTTCGTCTACTGATTCATCTACTGGTTCACCTACTGGTTCATCTACTGGTTCACCTACTGATTCATCTACTGGTTCATCTACTGATTCATCTACTGGTTCACCTACTGGTTCATCTACTGGTTCGTCTACTGATTCATCTACTGGTTCACCTACTGGTTCATCTACTGGTTCGTCTACTGGTTCGTTTACTGGTTCATCTACTGGTTCACCTACTGGTTCATCTACTGTGTCATCTACTGTGTCAACAACCCGGTCCAACTCTGCCCAGAAAGATGGTGAGAAAACTACTTTTTGTTCTATGAAACGTTGTTATTGTTATTAAATGATGTTGTTAGAAATGAAACATTCCCACTAAATGTTATATCAGACTCGATGGGAGTTAGTTAAAATAAGCTACATGGGTTTTGTCTCCTGCAGGCGTCTCTTGGATTCCTATAGTCGCCGCTGTGGTCTTTGTGGCTCTGCTGGGGCTTCTGCTATTTTTGGTTTTCAGGCACAAGCGTAAGAGATTTCTGCACGTTACTTTACAAATACTTTTTATTCACTGGAAATAGGTTGGCTGGCACACAGTTATTAGATTGATCAATTCATCAATAAATGTAATTATAATAATACAAGTAATGGGGGTAGGGGCTGGGGGGATTTAGAATAAACACATTAGGGGTAAGTTTTATAGAAATACAGTATTTCTGTAATATATTGAACCAGGGAAATGTGAATAAGTATGGCAAATGCCTGTTTTAAAAGCAAAAAAATACATTCAACCACTTTTATTAATTTCTCTGACAGATTCATGTTGTTCAAAAAACAAAAGAAAAGGAGAAGCACATAACGTGGAGGTAAGGGTCCATATTTGTGTGTGTGTGTGTGTGTGTGTGTGTGTGTGTGTGTGTGTGTGTGTGTGTGTGTGTATTAGATTGCTAGATTTAATTGTCATCATCATCATTCTCATTTATAGGGATAAACAATGATCTGCTCTCAAAATCATATTAAATAATAACACAGTCATTCTAACTGCTCTGTTTTTGAATAAATGCTAATGTTAGCTATAACTTCTGCCTAATGGTGAGTGCTTCATTATGAGGATGCTTATAAAATAGCCTTCCTGTTTCTCACTCAGCTGTGGAAGGATCATACCTATGACGAGATCCAGGAGCGCCCCCAGGTGACAGGTCCAGGAACTGCACTTCAGTCACTTTATGTCACTGCCAACGCTCCCACAAACCCCTCTGCCTTGCCGTATTACTCCACCTTCAAACCTCCCACTAACCTTTCTACCTCGCTTGACTGCTCCACCATCACGGCTCACAACATCTCTGCTGAAGTTGATTGTGAAACACATTCTACAGTGAGGGACCAGGCCCAATCTGCCGCCTACTCTACTGTCAATCATCCATCCAGACTTCCTGAATACCCTTTCTATTCTTCGGTCAACCACCCACAGCAGACCTGAGATACTGTACATATTTTTCACTTCATTGCTTTCGGATTCAAACCAGGCTTCACACTTCAGTAATAATGTCATAGTTTACTTTGTTTGATTTGAAGTCCTATCTGCACTGATCCCCAAACATGTGATATGATTTCATACAGGTGTGGTTGATGGAAGGTTAGAAATATACTGTTTTAATTAATAACCTGGCAGCAGGTTTGTTGCATTATGGTAAAGTCAGGGGTTCGTAGTAATATATGTATGTGGGAACATGGTTTAGTATATTGTTACAGAAATAATAATGTAAATCAGGCGTTAGAAGAATAAGGATTGGTTGGCAAAACATGCATTATGCTTCTCTGTATGTATGTCAAACATTTGTGTAATAATCAAAAATAACATCTGTGCTAAAGATGAGCGCTGATATTACTGAATGCTACAGGAACATGCTGAATCAAATGTATGCATGTTAGATTCAAGTAAATACAGTCATTATCTCATTAACCTGCCCTTTCACTTCAACCTTTCCCCACAGCCTCAGACAGTGGTATATTTACTGTATATAGTGTAAACTGTACAAAATGTCATGCAACATTTATTTCATTCATCTTTTTGAAATCCTTCCTATTTTTTTGACTTTACACATGAATAAAGTATGTCACTTGTTATTTACAATATCATTCAATGCTATATTCCATGTAAAAATGCTTTTATATTGATAATAAAAAAAGGTTTACTTTTGCATTGAGTTGTTTTTTGTGTTATTGCAGGCTGCACAAAGCTTTGCTGATGTTTTGAAAAATAAGAACATTATTTCTGAAAAATAAGAACATTATTTCTGAAAAATGCTTTAAACGTTTGTGACACTGACACCAGCTCTAGTTTGGCTCCTTTGATTCTGTAAAGTGGTTGTTTCCACTCCTCAATAACTGCAAATAATCCAGAACTCTGCTGCCCGGATCATCACCCGCACCAACTCACCCCCATTCTCACTCAGCTACACTGGCTTCCTGTACGCTACCGTATTGAATACAAAAATCTTCTACTCACATATAAAGCTCTCCATAACCTAATCTACATCACCGACCTCCTTCAGGAGTACACCCCCTCCCGCACCCTCTGCTCTTCCTCCGTAGGACTTCTCACCGTCCCAAGCTCTCGCCTCAGCACCATGGGTGCTCGAGCTTTCAGCTGCTCGGCTCCCAGACTCTGGAACTCCCTGCCACTACACATCCGACAGTCTGATTCCATAACAACATTCAAAACCCACCTGTTCAAACTGGCATTTTCTTCATGTAGCCTGTGGCCTTTTTTGTCCTTCTGTGGTCCATTTACTGTTGTTTGTCTTGTTTTACCCCGGCTGATATTTCACTAAATCCACTGTTTTAATTGTTCCTTGCCCCTATAATAATAATAATAATAATAATAATAATAATAGATTTAATTTGTTAGCGCTTTTACAGGTGCTCAAAGACGCTTTACAGATAATAGTGAAGAGAAAAGAAAAGAGAAGAAAGGAACAACAAATAAATATATAGTTAAAGTTAAAGTCAAATAATACAAAAACAATCACACATTAAAAGCCAGATTGAAGAGGTGATTTTTTGTGAGTTCTTTGAAGGTGGTGAGGTCGGTGCAGTCTCTGATGGGTTGTTGGGAGTGAGTTCCAGAGGGAGGGGGAAGCGACGGAGAAGGCTCTGTCCCCCCAGGTCCGGTGATTGGTGCGGGTGGGGATGGATAGGAGGTTGGCTTCTGATGAGCGGAGGCAGCGGGAAGGGGTGTGGTGGTGCAGCAGGTCTGTGAGGTAGGGGGGGGCTGATTGTTGAGGGCTTTGTAAGTAATCAGGAGGACTTTGAAGTCGATTCTTTGACGGACGGGGAGCCAGTGGAGGTTCTGGAGGATGGGAGTGATGTGGTCTCGGGAGCGGGTGTGGGTGAGGAGGCGGGCAGCAGAGTTCTGGATATGTTGGAGTTTATTGAGGAGGTTGGATGGTATGCCATAGAGGATGCTAGTTGCAATATTCGAGTCGTGAAG